GGGAGGAGGTCAGTAATCACCCTAGCTATGCAAAGCTCTTTTACTCCGTAACAAATTAATGGAGTTGCTCAAGGCTGTTGTTATTCCAAAAATATAATGTTGAATTAAGTAATGGAATCTGAGAGAAAACAGAAACTTTTGTTCTAGGTATTTTGGGTGAGAAAAAACAAAAAAGCTGTCATTAGAAAGAAAAGATTCGTGTTTCCATGTGCTGTTCCCTGAGAGGCAGATATAAATTGATAACTTGATGATGTCTGAACTGCAGAACTAGGCCTGTGTGGTTGCTCCTGGGAGAGTCAGAGAGCACATATTGCTTTGGGAGTCTAGTTAGTGTAATATTGGTTGCCTGTGAGAGCAATGCAAAGTGCAGGTTAAAGATTGGGTTTAGAGAAAAAAGGCCCAGATATCCCTGAACTAATAGTGGTGAATCTGTAAAGCCGTGGAGCTTCTTCTGAATCGGCTAAAAGGCTGAGTGGGCTCACGGGTCTCTGTCCTAAAACTTTGCAGCTTGTGCTTAAATTTTCCAGTGGGAAAATTCCCTGACTTAGTGAGACTGCACATACACTTGAAATTATATATGTGCGTGCATGTTTGCAGGATGGGGACAGAAATCTTGCTGGAGGCAACAACCTGCCCCTCTGGAGTTCGGTGGGGTAACCTAAGTGAAAGCAGACATCTTCCCACAGACCTAAACACGGCGAACACTTAACCAGGAATTTAACTGTCTGCCTTACAAACAGTCCCAGCAATCGGCACGTGCAGTCAGGGTGGCTCTCCAGGTGAGAAATCCAACAGCAACGGGGAGCGAGATGGGAACGGCTCCCAGTGCTCAGGCAGAGCTGTGGGGCTGGCGCTGGACCCTGGATTTTGCTTTGCGTGTCTCTGCATCCTGTTTTGTTTTATCGTGGTCCCTCAGCAGGGCTGTCCGTGGAATATACTCTTCCTGGGATTACAGTCACAGTGGGATATGGATGAGTGCTGGTAAGACAGAGGATTTTCTATGCATTCAAGACATATCTGTGTTCTTAATAACTTTACAGGGGTTTTATTATAAGCTGCTTTTGTGGTTTCCTGCGGCTGTTTGGGCCCATCGGTTTGGAGCTCGTTTCCTCCAAGAGCTTTGAAACAACAGAATGGAGAATCCAGTGAAAGCCCCTTGCTCTGGAGAAAGGCTTTGGACCAACCTTACCTCTTTCTGACAATGCCTTTGGAGAATCGGCTGCCAACATTTTAATATCTTGTAATTTCTGGCCCATGCAAGGAATTTTTTAATATCACCAAAGGCAGAAGCTTCTGTGGGGAGAATCAGAAGTGCTATAAAATGAAGTACCTATGTCACCTGTGGATGAAGGAATGTAGGAAGTCTGTAGCATATGGAACTTCAAGTTACTTTGCTTCATTTCATCTTTAGGTGTAATACTTGAGGCCATTGACTGCACTCTCAAGCTGCAAAGAGAAAGGCAGCCAAGATCTGGGTCCTCCAGGAGCCGAGGGAGAACTGCCAGGGAAGGATCAGGCCAAACTGGGGCACAAGTTATTGCTGTTACTGCTTAGAGGAAGAATTGTAAATGCTGAAGCAGATTTAGGGAACGATCCTTTTGAAATGGTGTTTGCTCCTTAAAATGGGAATGCAGGTGATACAATCAGCACTGTGTGTCTATTGTTTTAATGTTGAACTTAATCTGGGAGTAACGGTGACCAGTGTTAGTGATTTGGGGAGCAAAATAAGCTTCCTGAAAATTAGGGAAGTGGAGTTGAGCAGGACTTTCTGGTTCCTGCAAGGCAGCTGTGCCATGGTGTCACAGGATGCTGTTTATACCAGTGCCCCTTGTTCCCTGCTGACTTTCTTTTGGGGTGCCATTTGCTGGGGTTGTGAGGGCATTTACCTCAGTCCCTTACTGCTGAAGCAGTGAGTAACTTTGTGAGAGATGGGGATGCACTTTGCTATTCAACCTTAGCTGCTTAGATCAATATCTGCAGCAGGAGAGTGATTTTAATAAAAGGACTCTCTCTCAGCTTTCCTATCTCCATGACAGATAGACCCCAGCTAACATAAATCCCGGCCTTTCTCCTGTCAGTCTCTTGGCTTTGTGTGACATAGATGTTTTGACACTGAATACAAATATTTCACAGTCGGCTAATAGTTTAGAGCATATATTTAAGAGATTTACTTTTGCAATCACCTGGTGCCTTTACTGAATGTGGTTGCCTTGTAAGGCCTTTCTGTTGTTTGGAAAATATATCCACACACTCCTGTACACATATTCATTTTCTGTTGTTTATGAAATATCACTGAGGGAAAATGAGTTTTGCTTCAGATAACGGTAGTAGGGAGCCCTCTCCTAACCTCCTCTTTAGCAATGAGAACCTCCAGCAGCTATGACAAACCTTATTTATCAGGTCTCGGGCGGGATGTGCAGGGGTTCGCAATGCTGGCAGCTGGAAGCACCAACTCTGCACCGGGGTGAGGAGCAATGCCAGGACCAGTGCCGTGCAGTGGGGAGCTGGGCTAGAGGTCCAGCAGCCCTGCTGTGGCCCCTGGAACTGTCACCTGGCCTAGCTTCACCCAGGGTGGCTTTACCTCTCGACTCCCCCCATAGCAAAGGTGTGCAAATCACCCTTCCTGAGTTAGTGGTGCTTTGGTTTTCAGGGATGGTTTTGGCATCTCCACCTCTGGCCGAGAAGAGCTGAGGGGTGTCTGGAAGGGAGGAGGAGGTTTTGAGCAATCCTAACGCTGCTGACGGCTGGGCAGGCGCCTGGGCACTGACTGTGGTGTTTGTGGTTTGTGTTTACGGGGTTTCAGCCCACCAAGGGGCAGGTTGTGTAAAACCACTCTGTGTGTGCACAGCCATTTAGTAGTCGTCTCTCCCCTCCAGGTAACCAGAATAGAAACTCTCCTTGGTTAATCAGGTGTGTTTAAATTTCAGTTTAGCTCGCAATAGTGGCTCTGTCATTCAGTTCTTTCAGCTGATGAATTTGTGACCTTTCACCACTGTGCTAACACCTCTAATTGTTACTGGCAGGACAATTCCCCGGTGCTGTTGTACCAGAGATGCAGAGAAACTTGCCAAGAGCAGCCTGTGACTTTTAGCCACCACATCAACACCCCGATAGAAACTCAAATGGCCAATTAGGCCAGTGATCAAGCCAGCAGAGCAAACCTGGGCGATTGCAACAGTCACATCAAATGAGAAAACTCATGGGAGATTTCCCCTCTTGGGCTCCCTCCCTGCACTGAGGTTTGGGCAGTTAAAGCAGCTTTGTCAGTTACCTGCACCCAGGTGGCCTTGGCTGTGCTGAGTGTGACGTGGAGGAAAACTCCCTTCTAGCACTCAGGGAATTAGTCTGGGCTGGAAAACCTTAGTTGTGCAAATAGCTGTATTGCCTCTGTCAGAGGAGGTGGAAGCTGGAGCTGGAGACAGCTGATGGAGAGCTGAAGGTTGGAGAGGGAGTGTTCAGAGTGTTCAGTGTCCCCATGCTCTCTCCATACTCACATTTTTTCTCTATAGGTTCACCCTCAGTATTTGTTCTGTGTCCTTTGCCCATTGGAATGATCTCTACTCCTTAGTGGAAAGAATATTTTACACCCAAGAGATTTGGACCAGAACTCATTGGCCCTGGGAGGCCGTGAACACTTGGCTTAGGAACACTGTTATCCACACAGTGCTTCTGCACAACACACAGGTAGTACTAGGGGAATATATTTTATCTAACTTGTAGCTTTTTCCATCAGAGACATTTGAATAAATATCTTTAACAATAAAGACTTTGTCTAGAAGCCCGTGTGTGAGTGTGAGGTGGAGATGGATAGATAGAATACGTGATGACATAAAGATTTTATGGGGATGGGCAGATTACTCACAGATGGTGAAACCATCCCAGTATGTTTCAAGAAAAGCTATTTTAGGGATGTTTAGAGAGTTTTAAAATTTTTTTTATTGTGACTATTTTTTCTATTACTCAAGCCTATAAAACCAGATGCCTTAGTTACCATGTTTCCCACTGTACAGGGTTCAGAGGGAGCAATAAAAGCCTCTAAAACTTACCTGAAATAGCCTTCCTCCAGTTACAGATGTCACAGGTTTAATGTCCTGTATCTCAGGTCCTTGCAGGCCTGGACATGATGGTAGCATTTGGAGGAAAGGGGATCTCTCTTCTCCATGGCAGAATAAAACTTCCACTTTATGACCTATAGAGCTGCTGGATCTTTGGCTTAGAAGCTGTGACAAATTTAACTAAAACAGCCAGTGTTAATGATTCAGGAGCAATTTGCACTCAGGTTTGGACAGCATATTTTTGGGGCAATTTCATATTTAGGCAGGAATTGTGCTCAAGTCTGGTAGTTCTCAAAAATAAATGATGGTGCTGGGACAGCAGAAGGGTGTCCTGTCTAGGGAAGTTAAACCCTCATGAGAGGTGAATTTAAGTTGTTTATAGTGCTGTAGTGCATTACATACATACTCTTATTTAATCCTAAAATATATTTTTTGTTGTTTCGGACTGTGGCACCTTTAAGCTAAAAACTCCAGACTTTGGAAATAAACATAACTGCTTGGAGAACCATACTGCTGTAATGATAATGGCTCAGCTGTAGCTTCATACCTTATAAAATCTTCTTATGCAGGCAAATCCGATGTCTGCATGGGCTAGCATGGAAATCAGAGGAGGAACCACAGTAGCTTTATTGCTTGGGTTGCATGCTATTCCCTGGTTAGGGTAAATATGTGGTCTATTTTGATAAACAAGCCTGAACTCCTCCTTCCCAGTAATAACGTTGTTAACAATCATCTTCCCAGAGAATGGCAAATAATGAGGTAGTGGTTTAACAAGGCAGTTCCTCAACCTTTTATAAGTAGAGACTTGTTTCCTTGGGGGTTGAAATCTCTAATGTGCTGGGTATAGTGCTGTTATAAGAGTTTTTATTTTCAACTAAGTAAAAAAAAAAAATCAGGGTAAACTTTGCATATTTGTTTGATGCATTTGCTTTACCCCATTTTGTTTGTGTGTTTACCTGTGCTTGTGTAATGCTGTGTCTTCTTGTTTTACAGTTGCTTTAGGGATCACCTCTGAGGTGTTGCAGGTGAGGGAGTGCAAATTAAAAATGGCTTTACCAGGTCAGAACACAGATCCATCAGGCCCAGTAACCCGTTTCTGGTAGCACCCAGAAGCAGATAACTCTGGAGAAGCAGATAACTCTGGTAGCACCCAGAAGCAGATAACTCTGGTAGCACCCAGAAGCAGATAACTCTGGTAGCACCCAGAAGCAGATAACTCTGGTAGCACCCAGAAGCAGATACTCGGTAGGAAAGAGTCAGCTAAGGCAAGCACAGAGGGATGCTTCCCCTGAACATGTTCTCAGCAGCCTGTGGCAGAGGTCCTGTCTTTGCATAATGCTGATTTAGGGAGTGCAGCAAGCCGCGTTCTCTCTGGAGTGCAGCCCTTCAAGTGCTTTCCTTCCTGGACTAATGGCAGTTCTGAGCCTTTCTGTTTTATTCCAGTTTTCCCAACTTTTGCTGATAGAGAACCCTGAATTAATCTTCAGGCCTTTTGGGTATTGGATTACACTCTGCCTCATTTCTTTCTGTGCCAGCAGTGCTGGAACTGGCATGGGATGCTAATCCTGCTGTACCTATTCACTCAGTCGTAGAGGAAAATGTATGAAAACAAATTGCTAGTCCAAGCTAAATTTAGATTTATTCAGTTGGAGTTAATTATAATCTTTATTTAGTCCCAAGTGATGCCTTCTTATCATACACTTATTATAGCTGAGAAAATTAATTTTTATTCTACCATAAAGGTGAATGTAATAATCTGGGTTCAGGGAAGGGATTACTTTAATAAGATTTATAGGCAGCCTTTCAGACAGTATGGTTTTATTACTATCTGTAGGTGGCCTTGCTGTACGTATGTCTTTCAGTACGGGTGACTGTGCAAAATGCATGCAAGCTAAAAACTGTAGTAAGCACCAGCTCAGAAACTTCCACATCCAACTTAATTTTTTTGGCAATGGTAAGCAGGCAAAGCACTTGACTTGCTTTGGAACACAATAATACCATTTATTACTGAACTTGTGACCTGAGCAGGGGTTTCATTCATATGCATAGTTTAATTTTGCACTGAAAACTGTATTTTAGTAGACTAAAGATTTATGAAGCCTGAGATGTTGCCTCCAAGATTTTTGGAAGCAGAGTGATGGGCAAACATAGACATGCAGTGTGGGAAGAGAAGCTTTAGCAAAGAGTGAGCTGTCAGATCTGGTGGGGTGAGACTCCTTTGCCCATAGACATCCAAAGCTCCAGCATGCAGGTCTGCACTGGCCACCTTCAGTAGCTGAGGTAATGGGTAGAAATAGGCTCCTCCCAAGGGTGATTTCTCACCTAGGAGAGGATGAATGAATTCTGGAGATACCCTTTTCTGTGATTTGCTGGAAGGGGAGGCTGGAGTGAGTGCTGGGCTTAGATACCCATCTCAAATGAGATGAGATGGACCTGCTCCCGCGGAGGGTGGCCAGAATGCATAGCTGCAGTGAAGCTTGAGTAACAAATGTTTGACTGAGACATTTAAAGATAAGTACGTGAGACATTGTCCCAAGCCTACAGAAGTTAATTAACCTGTCTTCAGTTTCAGATGTTTGGATTAGATAGACCTACTGTTATTATTTTTTTTTAATTGCTTCCTTTTTCTTGTCTTTCAAAACAAGACGAGCCTGACTGGCAATATTTTGCAAAGCAAATCTTTGTCTCTAGAAATGTGTAATCAAGACTGAATGTTAAGGCCTGTAAACTGGTTTTGAGTCCTATATCAAGTTCTATCCTTACATCAAACTAGGAGAAGAAGAGAGAATGAGAAAAGCTTAAAGGGATCCTGTCCTCTTTTCTCATGCTACACTTTTTATATGTTGACAGCTTCTGGGCTGACTTTAATGTTAAAAAACTATTGGTAACTTCTTAGCTCTTTCTTGCAGTGTCATTTGTATCTTCAAATTACTCTGTTACAGTTGAAAAGACTGTTTGTTATTATGTTGGTGTTTTTCTATGCCAGCGTGGCTCACTATATAACTACCTCAAGCACTAAAGGAGTAAGGCTTGTTTTTGAATGATGGATGATGGAAGTTGTTCCTCACTTAGACTATGGAGGGTTTTTATCCTCCTTTTCCTCCCTAATAAAAAATTGAGGAGATGAGTCACAGGATGGACTCTGAATGTGGGATGTAAACAGTGACATCCTCCTTTCATGGTTATTTTATTAAATTTTGAATGAGTCAGGGAGAGCATGAAGCGGGTGTTCATCCGGGCTCCTTAAATCCTCACACAACCCAAACTTCTCCTGCCCATAGTGCACAAATGAGGTCTAAACTCACGGTAGATTTTTCACACTGTAATCATCCTTGTCGTTTTCCTGCTGTCATGATTAAGAGTCAGAGTTTCCCCAGCTGTAGCCGGACCAAATCACCTTGCACAACCTTGCATGGCTGGGGTCCCTAAATGTCATCAGGTCTTACCCTTGCATGCATGATAAAGTGACCTACACAGCTGGTCCAGAATTAATTATTCTCCTGTAATTTATCAGTTCTGGAATAGCTTTCCTTGTGCAGACACCCTATTCTGAGATACACTGTGTTTTCATTCAAGGATAATGCCTGCATTTCCAGAGCAAAATAATTATTATGAATAGAGCCATTTTTATAGTGGAATAATGTACATGTGTAGTTTGGTCTTTATGGTCTTTCGTGAGGGCTGGTGGGAAGGGTTGGTGATTTTTCTCCTATACAGAGAAGCCATTGATTGCCTCTGTATGAGTCATGGATAACATCATAGTACTTACTGGCACCACATTACTTGAAATTATTCCTCTTTTACAAAGAGGAGTGTCTGTATGATCTCATGCTACAATTCTGATGATGCTGCAGGAAAAAGATGAGTTTTAACATTTGTGCAGTTTTTCCACAGGTGCAAGATTGGCTTTCTTGTTTGTTTTCAGAAAAAAAGGATATTGAAAAATTGCATATTTTAAATGCTTCTTGTTCCTCGCACCTCCAACTTCAGAATTACTGAGGGCTTGTGAAAGACTTGGCTCCTGTTAAGTAGTTAGCTAAAGTAGAAGGAAGATCTAGATGTGAAATTTGGATTCATGCTCCAACAGGAGTTATTTTCATTTTTCCTAACAAAATGGTGAATGTTAGACACTTTCCTCTTACGACATCTTAACATAGGTGCGTTAGTTTTTAATGCTGACCTGCCACTGCCTTCTAGTAGGATACTTGTTTTGCTTCCTATTAAAATGTATTAAATCTAAGAAATGTAGCTTGGATGAAATCTTGAGTTACATGAATGGCAGATTTTTATTGCACGGTGTGACCTCCAGCTATGGCTTTGTGTGTGCCTTAGTCTTGTGCTGCTGTCTGTGGCATCAGTACAGGTCAAATGATATTAAATCCAAAAGTGATGGATAATTTTACAGTTAAATAAAGAGGCATCAAGACAACAGAACAGAAGCTTTATTTGAGGCCTGAGCAGGTCAGAGCAAGGACCCAGGAAGGGGCATCTCCCTGATGCACAGCATTGCATGGCTGGTTATATGCACAGTGGTTTCCTCTCTCTGATCTTCAGAAGCATCAGAAGGGTGTTTCCTTTCCTTCTGCACTCTCAGAGTTTGCAGGATGAACTGGGCTATGAGGCGATTGTCCAACTCTGGAGAGAGGGGTTTTGGTGTAAAACGGGAGCAGTGACATTTTACAAGTTGACGTGTTGCTCTAGTGGTCTTGGTATTTGGCTAGTCCAGATAAGTGTTCTAAAAGTGGCAAAGCACCTGCTGAAAAACTGTTACAAGGTAAAAGTTATTGCAGAAATTCAAGCTAAATATCTCAAGACATGTCTGACTGTTATTTCCACACGTCTCCCCTCAGTGCCCACGACACCACAGTAATCTGAGAACAGACTGTTCAGCCTTTGAGGTAGCACTGGGCTCTGGGGACGCTCCTTTGGCCTCCATTTACTTTTCTTCAACTCTTGCTCTCTTTTGTTACACAATTAGGACTAAGCTGCATTCTGATCTAATGTTCTGCCATCTTTTGATCTTGCTGGAGTGCTTATTAGAGGAGCAGGTGATTTATTAGTCGCTTTATTAGTTGCACACCGGAAAGCTGGAAATGCGTCCTGTTTCTGATTGTTACTGTAAGGAGATTGATGCTGCGGTGCTGATGTGCTGAATTAAAAAGGCGGGGTGTTGGCCTGCCATTGTATGAAGTATTTCTTTTTAGATGTTCCTACAGTGTCATAAAATGCTGCTAAATTCAGATATCATATTTTGTTGCAGGCTGGGTCTAGGACAAAGCCCAGCCCTGTCTACTGGTGTTTATGGCTTCCCATATAAGCTTTCAGACAAAATTTGTGTCTCATTTTGTTTGAGTTACAGCAGGCTGATATTCTAGTGCTCGTACCAGTTCTGAGAAGAGGCACTGAATGCTGCCACTGTAATGAAATGGAGGAAAGGGAAGAACATTCCTTTTAAACTTCCTGTAAATCACTGCTTGAGAGAGATAAAATATCTGCATAAAGAATGAGGAGAGGAGGGGAAAAAGTCCTATAGTGTAAACACAGATGCATTTAAGCCTCGCCTGAGTTTTGGTTCCTCTTTACGCTCAGGAATTATGTCAATGTTAAATCTCCTCTACAATCTGCTGTGTTTTGGGAGAAGGCAAATTTTAGCTCTTCTCCCAGAAATCAGAGGGCACTCTTGCTACTGTATGTCCTTTGCTTATCTATATGGCTGCACAATTTTTATGATAAATGCAACTTCTCAAAAGTATTGATTTCAAATGTAGTTCAGTTTATCTACAATTAATCCAGGAAGGTGCTTGTCTGCATTTGGCTTCTCAGTGAAGAAACAACATCCTTCCTCTCCTCACTGCTTCGGCTTTCACAGGAGCAAAGTTCACTTTCAGCGACTGAGTTGTGCAATTGCACAATGGCCCAGCAAGCCATGCCGTGTCAAGGTGCTCTATAAATAGCAGAGCAGTAATGGAACTGCTAAAACATCCCTTGGTGACTTTGGTTCTAGAATTGGCATTGATCTTCTCCCTCCTCCTCCATACGAGCAGGATGAGGTTTGACCTGTTGACATGTTGACTGTTTGACACATTATTCAGTGGTGAGATAAAAGCGTTGGGGCTCCCACCGAGCAGCACAGCAAGCAGTAGTGGGGCATTGCCTGACCCCTGCTAAATGGTGGTCACCAGGCTCTGCTCTTTGCCTCCATCCCTGCTCTAGGTTGCTGTGGGTTCCTTGCCTTGTGCAGCCTCCTGTGCCTGGTACTAACGGGCAATGGTGTCCATCTCTGCTACACAGCACCTTCTGCTTTCCATGGTGTCTGTCTCACCCGTACCTCCTGCCGCTTACACTGCTTGTAGCTCAGTTAGTCTCTTCCCTGGAGAGACTATCTCTGTCTTCTTCTGGAATTGCTTATTACTACTCACACCTTATGACTTCCCACAGGGAATCGGGGTCTTCAGTTGCTGCAGGAACTGTGCCAGCTGCCCATCGTTCACATCTGAATAGAAGGAGATGTGGAAGGGAGGGCTCAAATCAGTTTTTTCCACTAGAAAATTGGTTGTCCCCTATGTGAGCTATGATAACATGGCAAGTTGGCCCAGCTCAGGGCTCACAAAGGGAAGGGAGGAGAAAGTTTCTTGTCATTTGGGTTTCTGCATTTCAACTGGGTGCCCAGGTCCGTGGCCGCACTGGTGCGTTATGAGAGATGGGCTGAAACGTTTATGGGCATAAGAAACGAGGACACCCAAGGGGAGCAATTGCGTAGCAGCTGCTCTGCACTTCCTCTGCCTTGGACAACTGAGAGGAAACCCCAGTCTGATCCCCATGTGGGGCAGTGGACAGGAGATTATTGATAGTTTCC